AGTAGGAGGGTTCACATTACCAGATTTCAGGTTATACTACAAAGCCATTGTAATCCAAACAACCTGGTACTGGCACAAGAACAGGCATATTAATCAATGTTACAGAACAGAGAACCCAGAAATTGACCCAAGTCATTATACTCAACTAATATTTGATAAAGGTGGCAAGAGCATACAATGTAGTAAAGATAGTCTCTTCAATAAATGATGTTGGGAAAATTGGACAGCTACATGAAAAAAAATGAAATTAGACCACCAACTTATACCATACACAAGAAAAAACTCAAAATGGACAAAAGACTTAAATGTCACTAATAAAACCATAAAAATCCTAGAAGAAAATGAAGGCAACAATATATCAGACATCACACCCAGCAGAATTTTCATCAATACATTGCCTAGGGCAAAAGAAACAAAGGAAAAAAATTAATACATGGGACTATGTCAAACTAAAAAGCTTCTGCACAGCAAAAGAAACAGCCATCAAAATGGAAAGGGAACCAACTGTATGGGAGAACATAATTGCCAATGATATATCAGATAAGGGGTTAATTTCCAAAATATATAGAGTATTCATACTACTCAACAAAAGGAAGGCAAAGAACCCAATTAAAAAATGGGACCTAAATAGACACCTCTCCAAACAGGACATACAAATGGCCAAGAGACATATGAAAAAATCCTCAATGTCATTAATCATCAGAGAGATGCAAATTAAAATGACTATGAGGTATCATCTCAAACCTGCCACAATGTCTGCCATCAACAAATCATCAAGCAACAAATGCTGGCGAGGGTGTGGAGAAAAGGCAACGCGGGTACACTGCTGGTGGGAATGCAGACTGGTGCTGCCACTATGAAAAACAGAATGGTGTTTCCTTAAAAAATTCAAAATTGAATTGTCATTTGACCTAGTGATCCCACTTCTAGGATTATATCCTAAGAAGCCCAAAACACCAATCACAAAGAATATATGCACCCCTCTGTTTACAGCAGCACTATTTGTAATAACTATGATCTGGAAACAGTTCAAGTGTCCATCAATAGATGAGTGGATAAAAAAGCCGTGGTAGCCCTGGCTGGTTTGGTTCAGCAGTTAGAGCTTCTTCCTGTGGTCCAGAGAGACCCATGTTCTGTTCCCGCTAAGGGCATGTACTTCGGTTGCAGTTTGTCCCTGGCCCTGTTTGGGTTGTGCGGGTGGCAGCCACTCGATGTGTACCTTTCACATCAATGTTTCTTTCTCTCTCTCTCTCTTCCTTTCTCTCCCTCCTGCTCTATCTGAACAAAAAATGAAAAAATGTCCTTGGGTGAGGAAAAAAAGCTGTGGTAGCCCTGGTTGATTTTGCTCAGTGGTTAGAGCATTGCCCGAGGACCAGAGTCCCAGGTTTGGTTCCTGCTAGGGGCACGTGCTTTGGTTCCTTTTTGTCCCTGGCCCCGGTTGGGGTTGTGTGGGTGGCAACCACTCGATGTGTCTCTCACATTGATGTTTCTCTCTCTCTCTTCCTACCTCTCTATCTGAAGATAAATGCAAAATGTCTTCGGGTGAGGATAAAAAAAAAAAAGCTGTGGTACATATACACAATGGAATACTATGCAGCCGTAGGGAAGAAAGATCTCTTACCCTTTGAGATGCCATAAAGGCACCTGGAGAGTAACATGCTAAGTGAAATGAGCAAACCAGAGAAAGATAAATATCACATGATGTCACTTACCTGTGGAATATAATGAACAAAACAATCTGATGAACAAAATAGACCCAGAGACATGGAAATAGGGATTAGACTGACAAAATTCAGAGGAAGAGGTAGGCGGGGAGGCAGGAAGAGATAAACCAAAAAACTTATATGCATATATGCATAACCAATGGACATAGACAGCAATGGTATGAATTGGGGGGGGGGGCAAAGGAAGCAGGGAGGAGGATGTCAATGGGGGAAAAAGGAGAAACATCTGTAACAAAAATAAATTAATTAATTAATAAAAAAATTGAAACATTTTTTCAGAGATTCAATTTTAACATTTGTGTGATATAATTGGAAACACAAAACAGTCAAAATAACTTAACTTCAAGCTTTGTAGTTTGTGCTTTATATCTTAAGCCCGATCATCCTTTTTCTTAAGTACTGTCTGAGATATCTGATCAAATGTCAAGCAAACAGATAGAATTCTTCCACTCAAAATAGCTTTATTTTAGTGATAATAAGAAATATGTATACATTTGATTGAAAAAAATGATGGAAAATGTTTAAGGCAAATAAGAATTTTCAAACCAAATGTTACAGACTTAGAGGCATGAGCGATTTCTCAATCTAGTTTCTATAGGTCCAAAGTATATGAAGGTGGTGTTGTGAGCTAAATTCTATTTTAATAAACCACTTAAGTGTACTAGATATTGTACTAAGTGCCTGAGACTCACTACTTAATTTATTCCTCATAATACTTGAAGTGGTTGGGACTATTATCATCCCTAATTTTTCAGTTGAGGAAACTGAGACCTAGAGCTGATTAGTGAATCACTCAAGGTGACATAGCTAGTACATGAGAAATCTAATATATAAACTGAATCAGACCAATTCTAGGATTGGAAGTGTTTACCACTAATCTTTATGGCCTCTGTGACATAGATTGGAAAATTGTCAAGGGGGAAGACTGAGAGGAACAATGATGGAGGGAGGATGGTGGTACCAAAGACTCACAGATCTGAATCCCTACAAGTAGTCAATGCACCAAGAAAACATGGTCAGTGAAGGGGAATTGTGAGTGAGAGAGTTAAAGCTGAATCTGGAGTGTCCTATGTCGGGTTATGATGTTTGAATTTAGAATATGCATTAAACATACATTATCTAGAAACAACAACCCATAGAATCTGGCTACAAAATATTACTTAGAGGGTGATGAAATGTATCTATCTGCGTGCCATATATAAACAATAATAACTAGGCATTTTGCACTACATTTGTAATTTTATGTATATAAATTCTTATCCACATCACTTTTTCTTGGGATTCTGTTTTTCTAAATCATAGTTTAGGACTTTTGCGAGCAATCTCAGAGGATTAAACCCCAGGGTACCATTATAGTAGAAAACTGAGTTAACTCTGTTCTTCCAATGTCATAAACAGCTTCAGGATTAACATAAAACTACTTCCCTTGGACTATATATGTATATGACATAGAGCTTTGCTGCTTGATATTTTACTAGTGTCTCTATTCTTATTGAAGAATGAAGAATCAGAAGTCAGTTTCCTTTTGATTTAGGTATGTATATTAGTTAAATGAAAGAGAGATGATCAAAGGTGGCTAAGAATACCTCTGCTTGATGTGATATTCTTCATGTAGATCAATTTCTGAATCTTACAGAAAGAAATACTCCTCACAACTTTTAAATGAAGATTATGTAGCATTAAATATATCTAGAAGATCCAAGGCATTTAACATCTATGTACAAAATAATTATATAGTTGGTTAATCAGGTATACTTTCTGCTTCTGCTATGGGTTATAGGAATGAATTGGATATTGGAAACATGATGTAAATCTGAGGTGAGCAGTGGCATACAATCAAAGTCGAATTATGGAGATGAAACCAAGGTAGGCATCAGGGTGTCTAGAAGGCGTATTCTTGGCCAACATCACCAATGAGCAACAGCTGTTACCTTGACATTTCAGTTCTTAAGAAACAAAAATAAGAGAGGCATTGCAAAATATAGCTCTTCTCACTCTCTCTCGTCATCTAATCTCAGAATGAAAGTATTTTTTATTTCCATCTTTATATCTTTTCCATAAAAATATTCAGCTGTAAAAAGGATAAAAACAAGAGTTTTTCTACTTTATCCTGATGTTTATCCACTCTGCCTCAAGTTGGAGACCTAGAGAAAGTGCCTTTATTTCACATTTGTGTGTATGGGTTCCCTGTTGCTTCTCCATCATTTTGAAGCCACTGCAAAGTGCCCTTCTCTGTTTCTTTTAAATAATTATGGAAAGTAATGATCTCTCCAATTTGATTTTGTGTTTCCAGTTAGCGCTGCTAAAAAATGCTGTCTCTATGTTCATAACCACCTGAAGCCTTATAGGTTGTCCTCTACCCATGTTTCCACTGACTTAACCAAGCAGAAGAAATGAACACAGTATTTGCTAGTTCAACAGCAGTGGTAACATTTGCAGGTTTTCTCAGAGGAACTGATGTGGAGTGAAGAATGAATGGAGAAGCTTTCAAATACAGCTAGACACCATCACAACTGTAACTCCCCAAAAGTATTTGTTATGAAATGGATCGTCTTGGAAAATAGAGACATCAAAGAAAAGATGCAGAGGTGTTTTATTATCTTTCTTTCTGGGCTCTTTATAGAGGGATAGAGGTATGTGACCCAGCCTGTGTTTGCTCCTGGGCAGGCATTGCCAGAGTGTCTGCACTTCTGTTTGTGATAATGTGCATCTGATATTCTGTTTGTATTTTTGACAGGAGATTAGACCTGATCTTGGATTTTCTCTATGTCAATAGACAATGAATGAATCATTAGAGAATTTCTGCATTTTCTAGTTCTGGAAGTATCTTGTACCTCTGTGCCTATAATTTTACTTTCTCATATGACTGTTTCCTTATCAATTATGTCTGTATTTCCATGTTTGTATGCTTGATTTTTCATGTGTCTTTCTTCAGACAGGCTTCACAAAAAAGTGTGGGGCATAATAAATTATTCCATACTTACTATTGAGTTCTATGCCTTAGTTCTAACTCTGCCATGGGTTTGTTGATAAGCCTTATATGTCGGAAAAATAGGATTAAATCTGTATAAGAGCTTTGAGACTGACCCATTCAAATGAGCATGGCTTGATTTAGAGTTCTAAAAAATGCATGACTAGGCCTTCCAAATAGTAAATGTTTTCATTTTCACTGTATTCTGAAGCAACTAAGCTAGTCATTTGCATAACGATCTCTTATTCAAACTTCCTTTGTTTCCTCCTAGGAGTGAGAGCTTACCCTCTCTGTCATTTGGAGAGATGTTTTATCACAACAAGAGTCTTTTCCACCCAGCCACATTTTTCCTCATTGGAATCCCAGGTCTGGAAGAGGTCCATGCCTGGATCTCCCTGCCTTTCTGCTCTGTTTACCTTGTGGCTTTAGTGGGCAACGCTACGATTCTACTAGTCATCAAGGCCAAGCAGACCCTCTGGGAGCCCATGTTCTACTTTCTGGCCATCCTCTCCACAATTGATTTGGCCCTTTCTACAACCTCTGTGCCCCGAATGTTGGGTATCTTCTGGTTTGATGCACACGAGATTAACTTTGGAGCATGTGTGGCCCAGATGTTTTTGATTCATGGCTTCACTGGCATGGAGGCTGAGGTCCTGATGGCCATGGCTTTTGACCGTTATTTGGCCATCTGTGCTCCACTCCACTACACCTCCATCTTAACATCCCGGGTGCTGGTGGGCATGGCTTTATGCATTGTAATTCGTCCACTACTACTCACACTTCCCATGATCTGTCTCATCTACCGCCTACCCTTTTGTCAGGCTCGAATAATAGCCCATTCCTACTGTGAGCACATGGGCATTGCGAAGTTGTCCTGTGGAAATATCCGTACCAATGCTATCTACGGGCTCTTTGTAGTCTCTCTCTTTCTTATGAATCTGGTTCTCATTGGCATTTCCTACGTGTTCATTCTCCGTGCTGTCTTCCGCCTCCCCTCACAGGACGCGCGGCTAAAAGCCCTCAGCACCTGCGGCTCCCATGTTGCAGTCCTCTGCGTTTTCTATATTCCCTCAGTCTTCTCTTTTCTCACTCATCGATTTGGACACAATATACCCCGCTCTATCCATATTCTTGTTGCCAACCTCTATTTGGTTATCCCACCCTCACTTAACCCCATCATTTATGGTGTGAGGACCAAAGAGATACGAGAGAGAGTGCTTCGTGTCTTTATTCTAAAATAGGGACTTCCACCTCCTGTTAAGTTAGCAAGCATTTCGATCCAGCAAGCAACATTGGTGTGTTATTGCCAGAAAGACACTTCTCTTCTAAATTTAGTTCTCCTAAATTACATTCTAGGGGATTTGATCCCCTAGACAGTGTAAAAAGTCTTCATAATATTTCAAGTTCAAGGACCAATTCCTATAGTGGAAGCAAGAACTGTTTGCATTAGTTGTTTTGAGTGACAGTGACCATCTCATCATTACATTTGTTAACGTTGCTTTTCTCCCTCAAATTGTCGTTCTATATTTTCCCTCAGCTTATAAAAAGACGAGGACCCATATAACAAATACCTTTCTTCTCACAACAGACATAAAAATATTAGTGTAATTTATTTTTCTTAAATGTTATTTTTAATCACACACAGGAGACATTTAAGTTGAAATGAACTATGTCTATTACCTCAGTCCAGTTCCACTATTTTTCTTGTCCTCAGAGACTGGAATAATAGCACAGGTTTGCTTTTTTGTCTTTTTTAGAGTCTAAGTTTATCGTTTTAAATTCTGAAATTTTGGGGGGGGGGAGTGGGTTGAACTATAAATTTTAATAATGTAAAAGGTAATGCATTTTGTATCATTCCATAGCCAATTGTTTTATTAAATATTATGTTTAGAGATCTTTCTGTGCTGATATAGATGGGATACAGTTATTTCCTTTTAAAATATAACAGAATCTTTTATTTTCATTTTATTTATCTTCTCATCCTTTGATGTGTATAATAGGTTAATATTTTTAATTTAAGATTACTGTTGTGATATTCATATAAATAATCTTTGTGCATATTCGAAAAATTTCTGAAGTTTCTACAATTAAAGGCAGAATTGTTAGGTAGTAAGTCACTGATAAAATAAGTCATGTTCTTGTTTTCCTGTATTTTGTTTTATACTTACTGTAATTTCTTTCACCTTCCCAAATTTTCTGCCCTGCTTTTTAAAGTCTCACTGCATGGATTTTTGAGTACATTTAACATATTAACGTTTTCCTATAAAGTCTTTATATTTAATACTTTATATTCATCTAATAGATTAACATTTTAAATGAAATTAACACTGATTATAGTACCTATTGCACAGCCTTATATCTCTTTTACACTTAAGGTTCCTGCATAGTTTTACTATATGTCAATATCCTAACATCTATTTTATTACTGTTTTGTGTGTGTGTGTTAGTTTTTACATTTAATTCTAATATAAAAGCAATTTATTTCTTGTATAACGTAAAAAAAATTAAATACTTGTCTGTTTCTATTTTATGTTTTATAATGTAATTGGCTTAATAATTAAGCACTTCCCAACTGTTTTTTATTCTTCTTTAATATTAAATTTTAATACGTACAAGAATCAGCTTTTTATTAATATAGTCAGCTTGTCTGTTTATTCTTCAATCAGTATCATAGTGTTTTGATCTTACAGAATTGAAATATATTTTAATAATTTTTTGAGCTAATTATCCTATAATTTTCTTACTGTCTTTTTGTTCTATGCAATAATTGGTAAAAAATGCTGTCATTTTGACACAGTTAAAAATATCAAAATGGAATTTTGAGTTAATTAATTCCTTGGTTCATTTACTATCAATCAATTAAATGATACTGTTGTAACCCAGGAGAATCAACCTCACTTGGACACAAAGTAGTTTTGAATATTAGGAGCTTTATTACCTGCGCAGGGACTGCAGCCAACCTACACAGAGGAGAACTGCAGCCCCGAGCTCAGGGGGAAGGTTGCTTATATAGGACAGGGGTTACTCAAGAGTTTAGCAGAGCAAGCAAGCTACGTGAACAGAAGCAGATATCAGCAGTTAGTAGCTGTACAAGTTGTTTATTTTATATTTCTTAACATTTACTAGACCCTAGCCTTGAATGTCTCATTGCCCCGCCTGGCATCTCCTGATTAGTTAAGCTCATGGTCAATACCCTTGTGGTCATAGCTGATGCATACCTTCCTCTTCAAGAATTTTTGCAAAAACAACTCGAGTTCAAGGAACCCAGGAGAGGTTCCTTCTAGCAGATGGAGAATTACTGGGTTATAACAATACATGTATTTCTTAAAATATTCACTGAGAATTAACTATGACCCTCACTTGGATAAGCACAGATGATAAATATCCCTTGGTGAAATGTCCCGGCACTCTCTTTCCTAGAATTCTCTTCCCTCTAAATGTCCAGTTTACAGTTGGTTGCAGGAAAAGTATACATAAGCTGCTGGAGCAAATGTCAAACAGCAGCCATTTTTTTCTCTAGTTAATGTTCCCTTGTTTATGGCAGTGATAGATCAGCACAGCAATACCAAAAGTATCCTAATGACAGTTTCACATTCTCCTTTTCAATTTGGATCCCTTTTATGTTATCTTCATGTCAATTTGGTGTGGGTAAGACTTCCAGTACTATGTTAAATAAGAGTGGCCAAAGTGGATATATCTGTCTTGTTCCTGTTCTTAAGAGAAATGTTTTTAGTTTTTGTCCATTGAGTATGATGTTGGCTGTAGGTCTTTCTTATATGGCCTTTTTTATGTTGAGATATGATCCCTCTATTCTCACATTGCTGAGCATTTTTATCAGAAATGGGTTCTAAATTTTGTCAAATGCTTTTTCAAAGTGTAATTATAGTAAATAAAACCAAATGAGTGTGTCTGTGTTCCAGTAAAACATTTGCAAAATTCTCACAGCAACTTTATTTATAATTGCCAAATAATGGAAATAACCCAAATGTCCTTCAATGAGTGAATGGTTAAACAAATGGTAACATATTCATACCATGGACTATAGTCATCAGTCAAAATGAACTATTGATACAGACAACAACTTGGATGAATATCCGGATAATTTACATTGAGTGAAAAAGCCAGTCCCCCAAAGATTTCAAACTATATTATTTCATTTACATAGCATTGTTTAAATGATAAAATTATTACAATGAATAACAGATTAGTGGTTACCAGGATGTTAGGTCAATGGAGTCAGGTGGGAGTGATAAAAAAGCCTATAAAAGGACAATTTTGGCCCTGGACAGTTTGGCTCAGCAGTTGGATCATCAGCCAAAGGACCGAAGGCTCTCAGGTTCAATGCAGGTTGAACCTGGGTTACAGGTTTGATCCCTGGCCCTTGTCAAGATTGTGCAAGAGGCAAACAATTGATGTATCTCTCTCACATTGATGTTACTCGCTCTCTCTTCCTCCTTCCTTTCTACTCTATCTAAAAATCAATGGCAAACATCCTCAGGTGAGGATTTAAAAAAAATAACATAAGGAGATAATTTTGGGGATCCTTGTGCTGATGGTAGCAAAAGGATACACAGTGCTATAACAGGAAATGTTTTGGTTCTGTGATTGTTTTTACGTGTTAAGTCTGTGTCTGTTTGGGTTTCAGGTTTGTTTGATGTTGTCTATCTATAGGTGTTTGTCGAATGTTTTTTGTGAGGATGACTACTGATTTTAAAGGTGACTTTTTGAATTTGAATTCATGTGAAAATTAGTATTAAATAAAACATACTTAAGGCATTTTACATGTATTATTATATGTGTATGGCTTTTATTTCTGTGCTTGTTGGTTCTCTACATCTGTCTTTCTCTGCCTTAATAATTTGCAATGTTCCTTACTAGCCTCAATATAAGAAGGTCTTGGGTGTTATACTTGCTCATTAAAAAGTACCAAAAATAGAGATTATTTTGGTTCAGAATTGCAGACAATATTTTTTCACAGCATTAATTATTAATCATCATAAAAGATCTATTCTTGGATTCAAATTGTGTCATGAATTTTTCTTCTTTTTCACCAGTAGATCAATGCAGATAAAAGTAGTATTATGACTGCCTTCTTTTGTACTCTGCTAAAATACTAACTAATCATTAAAAGGTATTTCTATGCTTTCTTTTAATAATTTCTAGAAATGATTCATATATTCTCCTATTCCAGCCAAACTCAAAATGCCCCATGAAAATAAAGCCATGTTCCATCCATCCATGTATTTTTTTAGGCATCTCAAGGCTTGAGCTTGTGCATGCCTAGTTTGCCTTGACCTTCTGTTATGTTTACATTGTGGTTCTAATTTGCAATATAATGATTTTGATAGTTGTATAAACAGAGAACACCCTCTAATATCTAGAAATCTTCCTGGATATTTCATCAGTCATATCTGGCCCTCCCCACATTCTTGACACCATGTATGTTGTCTACCCTCTGGATTCATGCTCATGATATTGGTTTTGTAGCCTGTGTAGATCAAATGTTTTTCATACACACCTTCACAGGATTGGATCTACTGTCCTCCTATCAATGGCATTTGGCTGCTATGACATGTTGGGTATTGTCCAGAATTGGACTGGGTAGTGTATTGAGTAAAGTCTTGTTCACACTGCCCATGACCTACCTAATTCACCATCTGCCCTGTTGTGATGCCTGAATTATTGCCCACATTGGCATTGCCAAGTTGGTCTGTGCCAACATTTAAATCAATGCCATGTAGGGTCTCTGTTTCTTTCTCCCATGTCCTTATCATGGTACTAGTTGGAATCTTCTATGGCTATATCTTCAGTGCTGTATTCTGCCTTAAATCCCCAAAATACCCATCACAAGATGCTGAGCACCTGTGGCTCCTATGCAGTCATGTTTGTGCTTTATATACACTCTTTCTCCTTCATTTGTTACACATGTACTGTACTCATGTAAGTTGTTAATAATAGAAGAAACAGGAAAATTCCAAAATGAAGTCAGAGTGAATGGAAGCTACACAGACCATCTCCCAGGACCAAACTGGAATTACAACTAAAATAAAGACAAATCTTTGGGAAAAAGCAACAGAAAAGCAGCTTGTAAGGACCACATAACCAGAAACACTGAATCAAACCTGGTAAGTCTGTGGAGGCATGAGAGGTGGGCCGGGAGCCCACAGACAGCAGCAGTCTTAGCTGTGAGGAGTGTTTTCGGGGTTAAGTTCTCAAGCCGGCTCCACAGCACAGAGCGGAA